TAATAACATGAATACACTTGCTGAGTAACTACCCAATGGTAGCACTCTAATGATATGACTACATTAGGAGATCACGGGGCCATCTTCTTTTCAGACGCCTCGGAGGGTTATCAGGAATTGAAGAGGAAGCAAGGTTAGAAACGAGAGGGTTGGGATGATTCTGAAGTTTATTATGGAAGGATATGTATCGGGATTGGGCCAGATCTGAAACATAAGGAACATTAAGGTCTTTATGGATAATTTTATTAGTGACAAAGTAAGGAGCATTGAGGATTTTACGAAGGATTTCGGATTGTAAGGATTGGATACGAGAGGAATTCGATGGTTTAGTGGAACCCCATACCTCAACTCCGTAAGTCCAAATAGGCATTATTATAGTCATGTATATGAGTCTTTTGTAATTAATTGGAACTTTAGAGCGTTTGTCTAGTAAGTGCTGAAGTAATCGGAAACGTCGAGCGGTTTCTCGTCTTTTCAGTCTAGTATGATGATTCCAAGTTAGTCGTTTAATAATGAAGTTAAAAATTTATAAGCAAAAACTTAAAAATAAAACCTTACGAATCTTGAAAGAAAAAATGAGAAATAGAAAATAAAATCATTGAAAGATAAGGTTTAGATTGCCACCAATGAGAGATCCTTTCACCTTATGACAACACAACACAACAAGTGTTTTAAACAATATTATAAAAAATAAATTGCAAAATGGGTTTGGCTGGTTTCGCAAATGTAGGACTCAAATGTTGCAATGATCCCTGGAGTATGCAGAAAATAATTTAAAATAAATGAAATATCTGAAATTACCTAACATTGTCATATCAATATTACGAATTTACGACACTTGAACTCCAAGAGGCTCATATAGTTCATATAAATTGTAATGCAGAAGAATTCAGTAATGTTTGCTGGTAAGCAGTGGCAGATGTTCAGGTATTTATGTTGAATTTAATTTTATTGATTGACATTAATACGGATTAATGAAAAAATTAACATTAAGACACACTTAAACTATACTGACAATAATCATTATTTAAAATTTGTCTAAATAACGATAATAATCACAATAAAGGGCTTAGCGAACCTGAAGGTTCGATGCCGACACGACCATTCAATTTATATGCATCCATCCACTGCCCACCGCACCGTGGACGAATGACTAATCTAAATGGAAAAAATAATGCTGATTTTTTTAAAATCCGACGTAATGAGATAAAAGAGGAATGTTCAATTATAAGATAATCATAAATTATTTTTATTTTAGCGGTCCCAAACAATAAATACAACCCTCTAAACAAATACTGATTTGTTGGCTCAAGTTTTGTTCAATTATTCTGTTATCTTTCATTTTAACTTAGTATCATAAGTTAATTTTTTTTACAATAATAATTTTTATTTAATAGGTATAGATGCTTAGTATTTTAGAAGCCATTCATCAAATTATCAATTCATAACTTGACCAATTGACTTATTTATATCTACATACTCTAAAATAAAGTAATTTACTAAAATACCCTTGTGAATAGTTGAGTAGTAGGTATATTAAAGAAAAATAAAAGAGTTGATTGCTTTTTGAGCCATTATTTTATTTTATTTTTAAAAATATTCTATTTAAATAAGGAAGTTATTCAGTATTTGGAAAATGCTACTGATATATAGCCTATAATTAATGTTATCTTGCAACGATTCGAGTCAAAAAACATCTTATGCTGGGTTAAGAAAGTACATCAAATTGACAGTGGCAAAAATTAAAATGAAATGGCAAGAATATGTTAAATTAGTCTTTTAACATAATTTTTGGTTGTACATACAATACAATTTGAGTGCTTGTGGTGAAGATATTTCTCTAAATATTTCTTCTTTGAATATTGGTCGACTGCTATACTTGATGTAAAATCAATAAATTTTAAGAAATAATTGATGCGCGAGGAGTAGAAAAAAAACATTCGCTACAGAAGTCTCAGTTAAATCACCACGCCAACTGCAATTGAAGTATTGGATCAAACCTGAGGAGTATTTCAAATATAATAATTTAGCATTTTAAATTAATTAATACATAACATTATTAATATTAATACATTTTTTTGATCCTGTATTTTTTAAAATTACGAAATACAAAACAAAATACTTTTTCTTTTAATTTGAAATGCACAAAACACCTTAAAACAGTCCAATCATCTACGATATCTCCTTCCATATAAGCCCCGTCAACTCCTAGTTTTCTCCCTTGTTTTCCCCCACTTCGACTATGGCTGTATGGTGTACGGTGGACTCTCGGGAGATTCCAAGGCCAAACTTAAACGCCCAATGAATTGCGCAATACGATTTGTTTTCGGAATCTGAAGGGATACGCATATTACCCAGTATTACACTGAGTTGAGGTGGCTCTACCCATCCTATCGCCGTCAGTACTTCCTAGCCACCCTACCAAATCACTAGAACTTATCGACCCTCCTATATTTTTCACAGCTTACAATTCAAATACTCCATCCAATCCAGTCCCACCAGAACTCGTACTTCCGACCTCTATCCTCCTCCTCACCGAACTGCTGCGTTTGACAAATCCTTTGCAATACAAGCCGCCTCCCTCTGGAATTCCATCCCTGCTGATATTCGACACGCTCAATCAGTTTCCTCTTTCAAACCTCTCCTCTTTAAGTACCTACTCCTTTCTCAATCCGACTGATTAGTGAAATATACTTAAGAGAAATATCTAAGCACCGCCAGAGACTACCTCAATTTATTAAGGTTATTTTAGTTTCTCATTATATATATATGTTACATATATTATATCTTGTTCTTTTCTTTCTCTTTTCAGTATTTTTATCTTAAGTCAACTCTTATTGTAAATATACAATCTAATTGTAACCACACAGACATACAATCTGTATTTGTATTTTGTTCTTAAGGGACAACTGTCCCAGAATAATAAAATATTTTTTCATTTCATTTCATACCATTTCATTTTCACTTCATTTCAAAATAAATTACCAAGTAGAGAAGATCTTACTTATAATTATACATATATTGTTTTCTTATCCTCCATTTTATTTTTCATCTATTACAATATTAATAAATACCATATATAAATATATATTAATTTATTATTTTATATATATATATATATATATTATTGTTCCTATTTGTTTTTTTATTCCCTCCCCTTATATTGGTATATAAATTAGTAGAACACCATGTGCCTGTACGGCGATTGGAACTACAGGCTGGAATAAAAATATAATATAAAGTCTTAAAGTTTGTTTCATCTTGATTGATCATTCGTCCCACTGTGCGCCTTCAAGCCCAACCCCGCCAGATCTGCCTTATCGCAATCCTTCCACACTACCTTCACCTCGGTCTACCCCTCGGACGCTTAACAGTCCTCCCAGCTTATATTAACCTTTTAGCGATTCTTTCTTCTAATATCCAACAATTGTATTCGTCGCGATGCAATCATTTCATTTATATTAACCGGATACAATTCCGCAATTCTAAATACCAATCCTGCACAATAATACATCGAAAGACGTTCTTTAAGAAGCATATAATCTTCTTTCTTTAGTCCAAATCGCTAATTAAGAAGACAGTGTGTTAACCTTCAGAATTCAAATAGTTTGATTATTTTAATAATATTATATATTTATAATTACTAAACATAATCATTTTTATATGTAAATATACTGAAGTAATGGAAAACATCGTTATTCCTGTTTTATTTTACAAGGTATGCATTGATTATGGCTTTCTGATTACATAATTCAACTAATATACTCTCATTTTAATTAGACACCTTCAGTAATGGATCCATGATTTAATTTTGGTGGGAGCTTCAGCCCAAAACCTTTATAACTATAATCACTCTAAAAAGAAAGATTAACTACCTCTATGAAATGGTGTTTAACTGCTTTTTAAAGCGCTATTAAAAAAATCTGGTGTGTCCACTCACACGACTTTCCTACCTATTTCAGAAAAGTTTTTATATCTTTACATATGTTCATGAACAAACAAAAAAGAATTGAACTAAATTTATTTTCCTGAAAATTGATCAAACAAAAGATTTGAGTACGATTTATTTGATAAACTAAAGCAATGAAACCGACTTAAGGTAGATCAGTGTAAAAATTTCAATACTCACTAATATTGCTGATCAAAAACTTTTTGCCATAGCTTAGTATTGTCAAACAATAATTTCTGTTAAAAGTAGAGGAAATAGTGAAGATTGTGTGATGTGGGCAGATTTTCTTACTTTCACTTAGTCATCTTTATTCTCTCATTCACCCCTTTCTGACACCAGGAAATGAACTCGTAATCTTCCATTGGAATAGCTGTAACCTCGTTAATATTTGTCCAAAATGAACGATTTTTATATGGCATTGTAGGGAATTTCATTACTTTTCAAACAAGTGACTTATCGTTGTTTTTATTGCGCTAGCTATTGCGCATGGAGCAACGAATTTCTGTCACAGGCATCAGTAGTCAAAATCCTACAAAATAAAACAAGAAGCAACAAAATCGGTTCAGTAGTTCCCGATAAAATCTTGGCACAGACAGACAGAGAGACAGACAGACAGACGAATGGCTAAAAATGTGTTTTTAGGACTCAGGGGGCTGTGAAACGTATAGATTCGTCGAAAACCGCATGTCGGAAATTGGAATCGATCGCAATACTTTCCTTACCTAGTATAGGTACGAAAGTAAAAAAAAAAAAAAAAAAAAGAGATGTAATCACATGAACAAAAATAATTTTAGAGATATTTTTTTTAAATTAAAAAAATATAAAATAAACCTGCAATTGATTATTAATACAATGTTGTAAAACATTTATGTCTTCATAATGTGCATATAATAAGGACATAGTTGTACAAATTATTAAACGCTTAATTACCTTTGAATGAAAATATTTAAATAGTTTTAATGTAGGATAACAATACTGAATACAAAACTTGTTTTTTATCTAAAAGTAATAATGTGATAAAAAAAATTATATTTTGACATTTTAGGAAAATATGAAGTCAATATTTTTTACTGTGACCTTATTGGCGCTGTCAACAGCTACGCCCTCCTTTAAGGATGAATGGACATCTTTCAAGGTATGAATCGTGTAACTTTGGTGAACAATAAAAACGAATCTAATGTGCTTTTTGATAACAAAAATTTATTTGGCCTACCTTACTGGAAGCGCGTTTTGGTTTTTGCGATTTATAATGCAGTATAACTCATTTAATACAATAGTATTTTTTTTTCTTTTCCATATTGAATATCGATTGTATAAAGTTAAATAAAGTTTACTATTATATGATGAGAGTACACAAAGTATATATACTAAATTGTTGATCGTAGCCCATGTTCTATTAAGTTTGTTTTCAGTTTATCTTAAAAGTAATATTTTGTTTATATATATAAATATTTTTTGTTGTTTCTACCATAGTAACAGGTTCATATAACTATTATTATGCAGTAATAGTTTTTAATTTCTATTGTTCTTCATGTTAAACCTACACATAAATTATTGTAAATTTTATTTATTTTTAAATGATATGTATATAACTTTTAAAACCATAATATTCTACAATAAACAAGCTAGGCCCTATTTGTATGGGGAACCCCCCAAAAACAAAACAATTTCAATCTATTTTTTTTTATTCTGCATAAAAAAATAATTTTTTGCTACATAAGAACAATAAAATCCGGGCAAAGAAAAAGCAAACATAATTTTTTTTTTGAAAATACAGAATTTTTTTTTCTCGCGTCCAAGAGTCCATTGTAATGAACGCCTTGACTGCTGTCCAATATTCTTTGATGAAGGTATCACCGAAAAATATATGGTTTAATTTTTTTCCCCACTTACTACAGCCTTCCCATGTTGGTTATTTTTATTATATATTTATTTAATGCTTCTTTATTTGAATGGCGACGTTTCGTTATCCCCAGGCCAATCCAAAACGATTTGTTATGTTGTCTATTTGGGCTAAGATGTTATTAGCTAAATAACATACCGATTGCTTGTCTTTAAAACCATGTAAATACATAGGCTTAAGATTTTTAGACACTCCAACTACGTTTTAGAAACATCTTCGGACATCTTTTCTAAAATTTATCATATCAAATTTGTATTCTAATTTCAATATGTTTGTTATTTAACTCTTTTGATTTGTTAAATTAAATGGCATAATAAGGAGATGGAACAAATGGACAAATAAAATTATTGAAGACTAACCAAATGGAATATTTATGTTTTTTCAGAAACAACATGGAAAATCTTACAAAAGCCAAGCTGAAGAGAACCTTAGGTTGTCGGTTTTCATGGACAATATGAAGTTCATTGAAGAACACAATGCCCGGTTCGAAGCTGGCATGGAAACATACTATCTCAGGATGAACAGTCTTGGAGACATGGTGAGCAAATTGAAAATTTATGTATTTATATATATTTATGTATATATTAAGTAAGTGTTTCTACATCTATCATTTGAACTTACAGCTCTCCGAAGAAGTCAGCTTTTTCCTGTTAGGTCTAAACGAAGACTACAGCGATGGAATTGAACAACCGATGGAATTTATTCCTCCTGCTAACATTGCTATTCCTGAATCAGTAGATTGGAGGAAGATAGGAGCAGTTACACCCGTCAAGTCCCAAGGGCATTGTGGATCATGCTGGGCATTCAGTGCTGTGGGTAGAACTAATAGTGTATGATTCGAAAACGATTGTTATCAGTTTCTTAAAATGTATTTCGTTGTGTTTAGACCGGATCTATGGAAGGCCAGCTGTTCAGGAAAACTGGTAAACTTATACCCCTCAGCGAACAACAACTGATAGATTGCGATAGAGGTCTTGACAATGGATGTGGAGGAGGATTAGCGTTTCACGCATTCCGTTATCTCAAGGATAGAGGATTGCAAAGTGAGGATACGTATCCGTACGAAGCTAAGGTATAGTTTCACTGAATTCATAAATAAATTATTCATTATAACTACTAAATAAATAATAATTCTGAGTGGTGAACTTACTTCATCCTCGTAGGACAACAAATGTAGGTTCAATGAAAGGAAGGTAGTAAATGGAACTAAAGTCAGATCATGGACCATCATAAGAAACGGCGATCTTGACGCTCTCCAAAAAGCTGTGGCTACTGTAGGCCCGATATCAGTATCTATCAACACTAAGAGCAAAAGTTTTAGATTCTACGGAGGAGGTGAGTTTTAATTTGAGAACTAGGTTTTATTACCAGATAAATTTATATAAAAATTACTAAATCATATCTGTCTTGAAAGGTATTTTGACTGGCGATGGATGCGATCCGTCGTCAGTGAACCACGCAGTGCTGTTGGTAGGCTACGGATCCGAAAACGGAAAGGACTACTGGATTGTCAAGAACTCCTGGAACACCTGGTGGGGAGAGAAGGGATACATAAGGTTCGAAAGGAACAGTAACAACACATGTGGTATAGCCACTCACCCCAGCTATCCATTATTGTGAAAGAGACATAACGGACTATTATTTATTTAATGGATTATTTTTATTTTATTTCAACTGTAATTTGTTGTAAAAATGCTTAATACTCAAGATATTAATGTTTCATATTGAAGTGCGTATTAATAAATGTATGAATATCTTATTTTATTTTATTTTTATTAATCAAATCACTATACAAATTATTTTCGTTTATCTTCTAGTCTGGTACATCCAAGGAAAATTTTCGCTTTATACAAGGGCTTTCGAAAAGAATGAAAATAAAAAACATTGTATACCTTTACTGGGTTTATACGTATTCTTTTTTGTCAAAATTTTGCTCTGGAATGATATACCTATTTCATTTAAGCTAAAGATCTCCGAGTTATCCCTTTGTTGAACAATCAAAAATATTTTGTACGAACAGTACCTACATAATATTGTGCGTTTTAAATATCTCTTCACAAATCTGTTTCCTAGTAGTATAGAAGTTTTGGATGCACTTATATATAATTTTTCATAATATATTAAAATACAATTTTATAAAATTATACATTGGGTATATTACGGTTATATACTATTTTACAATACGGCATCTGTAGAGAATTGGCCTTCAACATTATTTTCGTTCATTCGTCCCTGTTAGCCATATACTTTCTTAGTCCACGAGAATTCTTGGTTCTTGGACCGAATTCTCGTGATTCGGTCAATTCCCAGCGTGTTCACCTCCTTTTCCCCAACTCTCCTACCTACTAGCCCACAGATCCTAACCATAAACCTGATATTCTTGATTTTTCATACATAGCAGCTCAGGTCCTCTGAATTGTTTAATTACATGTCTAAATGAACTTTCATCTGACCATAAGCCACTAAGACCCGAATGCCTCTTAGATCTCACCCATAAGAAACGATGTACCAGACACTGTATGTATCAGACATCAGCAGGCAAAGTATCAGACATCTGCTATGATTATTAGTGCAAAAAAAAAAAGCAGGAATTAATATCATATCCAAATCCTTTAACTCCCACCTTTCCCCCTTTCTATTCGTGATAATTACCATTAGAAAATCACTAAAAATATTCTAAAACTTCACCAGATTTCCCATCGTAAAAATAAATATTCCACTTCCCCGGCCCCCTAAAGCAGTTAGTTCATCCTTCCGAAGTCAAATTTCATTTACAAATAATCACCTCGATTCGATCTTCTAACTCCCAGATCCATCGAAGACTTCCATCAAAATTAGTCATATCCCTAACACATATCTACGATTCCTTACTACGTACCGCCCACTTTCCTCTATATATATTTTTTTTTATTTCTTTATTGAGTATTACAACAATCTGTCTCTTGGAAATTGGTTATAGTGAGGTAGGATGACATTCACACTATATGTATAAAAAAAAAATAAATAGAAACAAAATAATAATCAAAAGTATATACAATAGATAATAAAATAAAATAACCTAAAGATTGAGAAAATTAAAAGTAAGCAAAAAAAAAAAACACATGCATATCAATATACAATCAGGCGAGGGAACTCCAGGAGAACCCTGCACTACTCTCTCAACCGCGTCACTGGTACTAATATCTATCTATCCTCTATTATGGAAACATTCCACTATCACACTTCTCCCAAAACAAAGCAAATCTTTCAACATCTTGACATCCTGCGGACTACTATAACCCTACTTCTAATTCTTTCAAAAATCTTGGAAAAGTTAATTTTGAAACGAATCCTACTCATTATAGAACCCTAAAATCTTTCATCCCATCAGTTTGTTCTTAGCTCTCAACATTCTACGGTCCAACAAAGACTCCCTGATATTTATCATATTTCTATTCTATTTGGGTGCATTTCTGGGCTAGCACAGGCGTTTTACCAGTTTGACACGCTTGATTACTTTTTAAGCTCAAAATCCATTTGCTCCAGTCCTTACACTTCTCTGACCGCTCTTTTCGAGTTCGCTGTGGAACATAATTTTTCAATATCTATCCTTTTACAGCCGGTCTCCCCTCTCCTCTTTTCACTTTCTTTACTGCTGACTTCTTTGCTCATTACGATACATACGTTCCTTACAACATTTCCTAAAGACACCAGAATCCTATTATATAACTTTAATCCCAAAATAACATCCTTAAATATACAACGGTGGCTTTCCCTGATTGAGAACTGGTGTAATAAATGGCACATTAAAGTATTTATTTATTTATTTGTTCCACCCTCCCATGCCACAATGGCAATACAGGTGTTTGCAATAGTGTGTTTTAGGCATGAATGCTTAATAACACACTACTACTAGTTAACATGATGTGCAGTTCTTCTGTTCTTTCTTCTTCTTCTTTTTCGGCCTAGCTTCCAGAATCTGGAGGTCTTCCTGCCTTGTCCTCTTCTTCTGCGGGCACCAATATGGAAGTGAGCGGGCCCCACGCCGTCTTCCACCCATATATGAAATCCTTAAACCGCGGGAAATTTTCCTGACTAACTGAGGAAACTCATTTTCAGTGAGGACATAGATTCCCGCGGCTCTTGTCATAGTCGCTCTTAACGTTTCAAATGCGGTGCAGGTCGTGACCACGTGCTCTACAGTTTCCGGAACACTACAGATTGGGCATAGAGGATCTACATCAATGCCCAGACCGTGAAGTTTAGCTCGAAATCCTCCATGCCCAGTGAGGAACTGGGAAATCCAGTAGTCCGGGAGGACCCACTTTGCCTGAAGCCTCGACTGTACTGTGGGAAAGTACTTCCTCAATGTACTTCCTTTAGGAGTTGCTACCCACCGCCGGTTCCATGCTTCAATTGTATCCTCCCGGAGTATCTTCTTCCATCTATTAGGCGCTTCCATAATCCTCACCTGTAGATTGTCCGAAAGTACTGTAGAGCCTTCCATCTTATAAGAATATTTTGTCACTTCTTCTAGTAGGAGGAGGTCGAGAGGCACCACCCCCGCTAGGACCTGCACCGCTTCATGCGAAGTTGTCCTGTATGCTCTGGTGACCCGAAGCAGAGCTGTCCTCTGAGTCGAGGCTAGCTTTTTTTTTTTGTCGTAGTGTGAGGTTACGGAACCAGAAGGGAGACGCATACCTCAGGATACCCTCCACAACACCTTTATATATCGTGATTGTGGCTGGATACCTAAGGCCCCAGAATGCGCCCCCCACGCGAGTTAGACCGTTCATTGCTAGGGCCACCCTACCTGCCAGATATTCCAAGTGAGGTGTCACATTTAGGCCTAAACCTAACCTAACTCCTAGGTAGGTTACCACCTCACTTGGACGTATCCTCTGGCCTTCTATGTTCATTGTTATAGGGTGTGCCCTGTCAGTCTTGCCCTTGAGGAAAATGGCTTGAGTCTTGGCAGCAGCCATTCCCATTAAAGTACATGAATCCAAATGCAAACATATTACCTCTACGCTTCGACGCAATTCTTGTCTATTAGTAGATTTTAATTGTATCCATCTTCTTCCCCAACTTCCCCAAAGGAGTTGAATATCTTGGCTTTCTTTTAGTCCGAAGATTAACATAATTAATTAACAAAAAGAAAAACACAACTTTTAGACTTAACCCACATACTAGACTTATAATACAAGAACTTAACCGACGATATGACCAGATATAGATTATTAATAGAAAATCTCAACTTTCTATTGACAAACAACTACTGATGTACAAGACAATCCTAAAACGTATTCGGACCTAAGAAATCGAACAATGGGAGTCAGAAAAATGTCAAATGAGTCCATTTTTTTTCAATTCAAAATCCTTCGAACAATAGTTGATGATCCGTTCTATATAACCAACAAAACCCTGCATCATAACCTTTCTATCCAATTTATCCTTGACGTTATCACAAAAAATTTTTCCGAATTTCATCAAAAACTTACATATCATCCAAATCCCCTTGCACAATCCCTGTCTAGGGCCATCTATCCATAAAATCCACCTCGAAGGATGAAGCGGCAGTGGCCCAAAGACCTGTTGTAAATAAGCATACATCGAAGTTGGCAATTTTCAGATTCTCAGAGGAGCTAATTTTTAAATAATCATTTTAAATAAGGTTTATAACACTATATTTCCTCTTTGGAGAAAGGTATTCCACTAAACCCGAAATACAAAGGTTATTCAAATACAAAACCTGTTATAAAATATTTTTTATGATCTCAATTTCAATATAGTACTTATTTGTTACAATACAAGAGTAAATTATATCACAAAATTATATAGATAAGTAAATACAATATGCTATGATGGCAAATGTTAAAAATTAAGTTAAAGTATATAAACAAAAATTTTAAATTTTTGAATTCTTTCGAATCATTAAAGCAAAAAACGCTGAAAATTATCACAAAATGGTTCATAATATCCAAATAGTTATACCTCAAAGAATTTATTTCCATTATCACTTAGAAGAAGAAAAAAGACATTTGATGATATTGGAATGCATACAATTTTTCTTTTTTAATTATCCGCAGAGATATTGTTTTTTCGCATTATTAAAAACCGAAACAAGAGAGGTCAGCTATGGAAGCACTCTAATAATATTTAATATTCACGGATCTTACCATCTTTATGTATATTTATGAACAACAGAATTAAAATTAAAAATTGAGTTTAAGATTTTATATAGACAAAACTTTACTTGTTTTATATATATTTCAATAAAAATGGGGTAAAGAATTTCTTCTTTCATCTCTTTAATATGTAACTTTGTTATACCAAAAGGTATGCGAATTATTTTTTATTCCAAGTGTGTCGCGACAAAAAAGTTTGAGAACCTTTGAAATAAGGAATATATATAATAAATAACTTTTATCCCAAGTTATATAATTCACAAAACAACTAATTTATCAAGTACAAAATTTTCTGAAAATATCAATTGGAAGAAATTATTTTTTAAAATTATAGTGAAGAAAATTAATAAGTTTAGTCAGTATATCGTTCTCTCTGATTCTGTGGATAAACAAAATGGTCCTATAAGTGCGAAATTCTAAATCTTAAGGACACTTCAATAAAAAAAGCTGATT